GCTGAGACGCTGCACTTTGACTCGGGGAGGGTGGTCGGTGCCAAGTGCACACAGATTCACCCAGCTCTGCTGGAACTTGGAGATTGTTGGGCCTGCAGTTGAAGCCTCGGGCAACCCGGAAGGCCAAGCAGCGGCAGCTGCAAATTACCTAGACACTAAATAAATATAGGCCCAAAATCGGCACGACGCATCAGCGAGGCCCTCTACACGACGATCTGCGTCTCGGCACGACCAAGCGCAGCCTTTGCACAGCGCTCGTGGACAAGGTCCACAAGCTGTGCTGTCGACTTTCCGAGGACTCCTTGGCTTTCGCAAAGATTCAAGAGCACCCTGGCAAACTTCATGTTGAAGCCGTTCCATCCCCCCGCAGAGTTGTGGTACTCTGACGCCGGGCATTTCTCGTGCACGGCATGTGCCAGCTCATGGTGGCAATCGATCTGTTTCATCTCCATGCGCTCGCTGAGAATCTTCTTCTGGCATTGGATCAGGTGCTCTGGGTTCACGTCCGCGCAGGCCGCAGTAGCCATGCCGGCAAAGAGGGCCTCATCGGCCTCCTGGTCTTTCATGATACCAACCAAGCGCTTCCAAGCCTTCTGCTTTGACTCCCAGTCTGCAGCATGCTGCCAGGCCCACATAGCCTGAGTAACGTAAATGTCACGTGCATCCACGGCCCCCTGTGCTGCACCCGATGGGCTCACTGAAAGGCTTGTGGTCTCCACGTTGCCAATCTTCTCATCCTCAAACGACTTGTCGCCGAAACTGCACACATGGCTCTTGTCGGTCAGCTTCGTGACCTTCGAGATTTGAGTTTTGGTTTTGGTTTTGGGATAGGGTCAAGAGGATGTCAAAGTCCTAGTCGCCCCGGCCTTCGAGATCTGACTACGGAAGCTTTCGGACTTGAACTTGCCAAGGTCGTCGTCCTGCATCCAGTTCACAGAGAACAGGTCACCCAAGCAGGAGCCGACATTCTTGCCCTTCACCATGGCAGAATCACCGCAGTATGTTCCCCACGAAGACTCATCCGCGTTCGAGGCGGTAACTGCAAGGATCTTGCTGTCGGCCTGATGATGATGCTGATGATGATAAGTAAAGAAGGTTGAGGCAGGGGTTGTGCAGGCTTTCTGATGGTTTTACACGTGTCTATAGGGGGTTTTAATTTAAAATGCCGTTCGCCTTGAGGTCTGGGAACATGGAACCGCTCTCGCAGGCTTCCATGTAGAAGACCATCTGCTTGAACATCTGCTTGCTCTGCATGGTCTTCAGCGTTTGGGAGAGCTCTTTGACCGTGAGCACTGGACCGTTCGGGAAGGCGACGATGCCGGGACCGCCATGGTCCACGAAGTTCACGAACACGGTGTCACTGGCTCCACTCTTCAGCACCTTGCCCTTGGCACCCTCCGTGTTTCCGGTCAGGACGTCCATGAACAGCTTTCCAGTCACGATGTCCCCAGAGTAGTCGACTTTGCAGCCCTTGTAAACATCAGGCGGGTTCTCCCCCGGCTTGTTGAACAGCTGGCCGGGGAACGGGTTCTCCGAGCTGTTCGCCACATCGTCCTGCATCATCAGGATGATGTTGTCTGCTGGTACTCCACTCTGCAACATGAGCTGGTAGGCATGGCAAGCATCCGCTTGGTGGCGGTAGTTCATGAATCCTGATGAGCCAGCCGCAATGACGGCATACTTCTCAGCAGCTGCCACGGCCGAGACAAGCGCAACGAGGGCTGCGCGCAAAGCCATGGTTCGAAGTCGGGGGATCTGACGAGATAGGGCCTGTGCTCGAGCCAAACTCGTGCACGACAATGATGTTAAACTCCTGTCCATGGATACCCGATGTTGCATTCG